TATGCAGTGTCGTGATATAAAACCAAGATATAAAATTTTAAATGAGTTGACGGATAAGTATAAAACATCAACAAAACTTATTTATCAGATTTGGAGGGGAGTAGAAGCTAATAGAGTTTTATGGGATCAGCTTATACCATACTCATATGATGATATCTCTAATTTTACATCCTCAACATATCAAAATATCAAGTGTCTTGAGTCAAAGAGTCATGGCTTATTGTGGAACAATGACACTTACATTCCTGCCATCGACACTAGCTCTGATAATAAGTCAAATTCCACTATGAATGTTACTTATATAGAGTTTAAATATTTAGACTCAAAGAGACATAATTCAGAGAAGAGACAGGGTCTCGAGGAAGCTAAGCTTCAAGTCCTTGACTTATCTCAGATTGATCGACTGATAGATGGCTCTGTCATAGATAACTCATCAGTAAAGTCAACACATCCAAGTAAGTGAACAAAAATAAAGAGATCTAGATCTGTACGGATATTAGATCCACTCATTATTTCTGAGGACTCAACAGAAAAAATAGATACAGATGAACTAATCCATCTTAAATGTATGATAAAAGAATGTGAGAAAAAGTTATCATATTCAAGATATAATATTGATGAATCATAAATGATAAACTTTATCCATCCTATCTAATCTTTATTTTCTTTATTAGATGATCTTATATAACAAACAAGATCATTAAGACCAGTAATAACTTTAGTTGCTTTATGCATTTCTTTCTCATACATCTTGCAATTCACGCATTTTTTTTTAAAGTCAAATTGTCAGAATCTGGACTAAAACCTATAGGAGCATATAATTCCTCCAATAGTTCAATATCTCTCTCATTACTATTGGTATTCTGTGAAATTTGACCAGATACCAAAGGCTTATTGCAAAGCAATATGACTCCATCCCTATTATTCTGTGATGTAGTAGCACAATTTACTTCGAGTTTATTCTTGACTTTGTGTATAGTAACTGGAATAATGAAATTCTTTCCATTAAAAGGAATTTTCAACTCATTTTTACCCCAATATATAGCACATTTATATTTCTTGAGAAGTGGATTTGGAAATATCAATATTGGTTTAAGAATACGTACAATTACAAAATCTTCTCATATAGTAAAACCTGGAGAGAATGTTATTGGGAAATTATGAGCAATTCCAATAGATTCTGTTGGAACTGTTGCACACTGCCAAGATCATATTTTTCTAATTTATCATTTGGCCAATTTACATGTTTAACAATATCTTCTGATGTAATTGGAGGTTCAGCCCCACTAAGAGTATCAATGCTGGAACTTTTAAGAATTTGATTTTATATGGTATAGTTGCAAGGCTTGTGGCAGGTTCTTTCCAGTAAACGAAATCTATTTCCATAGGATCGTCTAGCATTTCATTCTCCCCATCTGAATCAGGTATTTCTGAAGCTGGCTCTTGATAATTTAAGCACAAAGTGCTCTGCTTTGCAGTAAAATTAGGTTTTACAATAGATAAGTTTGTATTATTAATATTGTTTTTAATTGTTTCTATAATCTTTGGATCATTAAACATAGCTATAATAATTTTTCAGATTTGTGCATCGATAATTGTATCTGATTTCATTTGTGAAGTATATTAAATCGGAGATTTGAGACTCTGTCTCTTCTTTGAACTAGACTGCTTTTTAGATAATTATTTATCTGATCTGATTTACCCTTCCACTTTACTTGTTTTTTTTATATTAGAAATATATACATTATAACTATAATTGGATTCAACCTCAGATGAGGAATCCCCAGAATCAGAGTTATTATCTGAAGAATCATTATCAAAAGAGTTTATATCTGAACCCGAATTTACAACAACCTTATTAACACTGCCTCTCTTTTTGGATCTGCTCTTGGACCTTTTCTTATGAGTACACTTGCAAGAATTATATCCAGTTCTATTATAATTTGAACAATGATGTTAAGATTATTTCTTAATGACATTAACCTATTTTGCCATTTTTGCTAAATTTAATGATAATTTTGATACTTTTAGTAATTTCATTTATATTATCAGTACTGGTATTTTTATTCTTCTATTACACTGGTTTCATTGAAAACATATCAGACAATTTTTTATAAAGATCATTAATTAGAGATTTCATAATATGACTGGTTGAAGGAATTGAATTTATGATATCAGCATGAATAAATCTTTCATAATTTATGTTATACACATTTGAAGATCTTTCTAGCATATACAGTATTTACAGTATCTAGTACTCTAGGATAATCATCAGAATTAGATCATTTCTGTTGAGATTGTATCAGTATTATAGATTTATTTTGTAATTGGTATGAGCTGGTTTCTGGCTGAGAAATTGTAGATAATATATTAGCTGAAAAGCTAACCTCTGGCCTAATAGCTGAGACTTGATCAAAATTTGATCCTTTATACAGGTTTGAAGTACATCCTAATCACATATTTTTTAATGCAATGAAGAATTCATTAATACCTACTGGAGCATCAAATCTCATTCAAGTAAAAAGCTCACCTGGTAATTGACTTTAAGAAATCCTAAAACTTGAGCATCATTATTGGGTACTCCTAACAAAAGAGATTGAATTCTAGTTTTGTAGGTATCCAGAGTATCAAAAGGTTGAAATCTTTCTTAAATTAATCTTTGAATTGTAGATTTTTGATTTCAACTGTTTCTTGTTAATATTTTATTCTTGTCCATGCCTTCAAAGTTGCTGGAGTATTAATGGAGGAATTACCAACAATATATTGATCATTAGCTGATACTGAAATATATTTTCCAGCCATCTTAGATTTTAAGATAGTATATTTGACCATATTATCAAAATCTCTTGCATTTATATTTTCAAGAACTGTTATATACCTCAGCAAATGCCTATGATTGTATAACCTTATAAAAATAATCATTAGGAGGTTCTTGATCAATATAAGATGAGAAACTTGCAAGAGCCAGTTGTATTAATTTTAATACTATTAAATGTCTAACTTCTGCCATATTTAGTGGATTATTCTGTAATAATAAAATTTGGACTTGTGAATTTAAAATTAATTACTGTGAATTGTTCTGTCTATTTTTTCACTTGATATGACTTGCCTTCTGATTCTTGAATTTATTATAGTATCTATTAAAAAGCCGATCTTGATTATATTCTAATAATCCTTTATCAGTCCAACATCTTTGCAATTTTTGTTCTAATCAATAGTTTTTTAATCTATACAGAACTTCAAAAATATGCCTGAGTTTAGATTGTTCTTTTAATACCAAGGTAATATTATATCACAAATGCACTCACATATTATATCTTTATTGTAAATCCCTACTATTGGTATAGTATCACTGTAATGATAATTAAATAATGAACTTTTTTTGAATTAATTCATCAAAATGTCTATTTTTATCATGATATGAGAACCACCAGTGATGATATTCTTCCTGTTTATTATTATAAGCTATAGTTATCAAAGTAAAATCATTCTGATAATTGTCATGCTCTTGAGTAAGTCAGTTAACTTGATTTTGTAAGTTATGTTACTCTTGGATAATTTGATTAACCTGGTTCTGTAAGTTATCTCATTTTTGAGTAATTTGATTGACTTAGTCCTAAAAATTATTTTGGATAAACTGATTAACTTGATTTTGCAAAATGATATTCTTTTGTCTATAAAAATTGACATTCTGTTGTAACTGGACTATCTAATTATCTCTGTTATCTCATTGAGCTATCACACTATCTATATCCTGAAATATATTTTAGTAATTAAGATGAATATCATTCAAAAAACCTCTAATACCATTTATAATATTAATAGGATTATTTAATGATGTTTCAGCTCCTATAATATGAATCTCAATGTGATTTAAGCCTCTATCAATTTGTATAAAAAGGTCAAGATTCGCCATATCTATATTTTTCTCTTCTGAAATATATAAATGTGGAGAGCTTCTTTGAGAACAAATAACTTTGAATCTCTGCCTTAGTTTTTGAATCCACTCTTTCAATTTTTGTAAATGTTTCTCTGTATTATCAATATAAGATATCTTGTTTCAGACCTCCTTTTTAACTTGATATAAGCTTTTTTTAAGAAATGATATTTCCGATCTCAACTCTTTCTTTTTTTTCTCCAAAGATTTTCAAGCTGTTCCAGTTCTTTATTGAGAGATTGAATATCATTTTCGCATTAGATATATTTATATTTTAGATCCTTTATATATTTCTCATTCGATTTGTTGATGGCTACCTCTAATTGCAATATCTCTTGAAGTTCTTGATTAATTTGTTCTAGCTCAAGTTCTTTATTCATAGTTGATCTATGAGTTGGTTGATTGAGGTCGGGATTTATGAAATGACATGATTATTATGAAGTAATAAGACTCTGTCTTTATTTTTTATAGCATATTGTATTGACTTATCTCTTGACTTTCTGAAACATGGTTTATTGCTATAGTTAAAATATATCTAAAATGAGTAAATTGTGCAAGCCTATTATTAGAATTTATTCAAATAAGGAATTAAACTTAATTTGTAAATTGCTTTTTTATCAACTTACAGACTATTATTTCAATAGTTGAAAATTATATAGGGATTTCAAGAAAGAAGGATTCAAAAAAGTTCATAAATGGTTGCATAATCAGAATGAGTGGCAAAAGTATACTACATTATCGAAAAATACTCCATGAGTAAGTTATAAAAAAATTCAAAAACCAAATTGTATACATATGTAAGACATTCTTTTTTATACATTATTATTATAAAGGTAAAAAATAGATAATAGTGCTTAATATAATAGACATCTCTAGCAGATTCAAAGCCAGTGTTTCTCTAATATTAAAGAATAGTTTAGAGGTTGCTAAAGCATTCAAGAAAATTTATGATAATCCCAATAACCCTCTTATATACCCAACACTTTTACAATATAATGATGATAAAGAATTTATGGGTGAAACTGCTTGATTAATGAAGGCACTCCCAATAACTCTCTTATATATCCAACACTTCTATAATATGATGGTAATAAAGAATTTATGGATGAAACTGTTCAATTAATGGAGGCACATAATATTACAATTTGAGTAATTAATGCTTATAGTCATCATGGATTAGCTCTTGTAGAACAATTCAATAAGATACTAATAAAGATGCCTTATAAAATCCAGTATATTGTCAAAAGTATAACTTTGAACTCTAGATCAATAAGTTATGGATAAAGTAGCCATCAATTATCTAAATAATTATTCAATGCATCTTTTTAGAGCTCTAGGTTCTACAAAGTGGGGTTTAGCTCCTAAGCTGGCCATTTAGTTAGAATAAATAGAATAAGGCTCTCTACAATTATAAGCATTCTATTGGAAAATATGAGGAAAATAGGTTTAAGAAAGGTAATACAGTTTGCTATTTACTTGCTAATATAGAGAAAAAAAAAGGTATAGAAAATTAGAAAT